TTGTCTGCTGCATGGTGTTGACAGAAGCATCGGTATTCATTTTGAAACGTTTTCTCTTTGCATAAAGAACCTTGTTCATGTCCCCTGCATTGCAAATAGATACCCATTGAAATATACTCTTGGAAACTATTCTCCTCCCACATGTTCAAGTCAATTCGGGCAATGTTGGTTCAGCAGTATTGGAAAGACACTTAGCATTAATCAATAGGCATGATTTCAAAAAGCAAGATACTTTGCTTCCTTCTCTCTCTCTCTCTCTCTCTCTCTCTCTCTCTCTCTCTCTCTCTCTCTTTTGTGAAAGCTTCCAGCTACTACTCCTTTAATTCAGCATGCCTTAACGGCACATCACTTTTTAATTTAGGATGAAAATACAGCTAAAGATCGAAAGTTTCTGTTTTCCAAAATGTGAGAAAAGGGAGACACTGACCCCTTTATTTTGTCATGAGATAACAGCTACAAAGGCTGGTTTGTAACATTTTATGAAATATTCCCCAACTGAAAGGACAGAGTTACATGAATGATTGTTAGAACTTGTTACATGAAACACAGAAAATGATTCCAATTAACAGGGCTTCAAAAAGATACAGATAATTTCATGAAAAATAAATACAAAATTTAATTTAGCCAGTGACCCTTTTAAATAAATTAGACTAAAAGACAAGGAAATGAGAAAATTTATTCAAGAACAGTTTCCGCATCATTTCATGGAGGTTTTTGCATATCATTGTCATCAAAAGGTTGCATTTTGTAAAACTCAAATTTACTGAAATTATAAACATTTTGAATACTTCAAATAATGCTTTGCTAAGCCTATGACTGACTCTCTGTTACAGATCTACCATCAATACTTATTTTCCAGTAATCATGAATGGACTGCATCATTCTACAAATACTTTGTAAATATAGTTTATCATGTACATTAATGAAATTATAAGACAGCTCATAAATCAAGCACATTGTCACAACCAAATTGAGCAACGTTATCAAAACGTGCCTGTTTGTATGAATTATCCACACAGAGGAGTCAAAAATTGACTCTGACACTTAAGACTATGTCCTTTAACACAGTTAAGGTAACTGATATCTGACATGTTCATTTAAAACTTGCCATTGACTCTGATCATACATCACTCCATTGGTAGCCATGTTGTGTTTTGTTCTCCACTACAGGGGTTATTAAGGTAAATATAATGATAAGCAGATATTTCAGAGGTCTCCACCGGCACTGCTGCCACCCAAGGAAAAGAAATTGGGAAGTTAAAGGAAATAACCGACACGGGGAAATGAAACATTGCCGTTAAAACTGGATCTATGACTCGCCATGTGGTACAATGTGGAAGAGATTATTTCATCAATTTCTTCCAGTATTCCACAGTGCATCAAATAAAAGCATCTCTCTCACCAGTGATGGTACCATTGTTAGTACCATTCTCTTCACATCCACAATTCAAAGGGGTAAGTAATCTATGGAGCTGAATCACACTCAAGACTTATGTAACATCCTGTACCTGAGAACAAGGCAGTAAATAACAGCAGTGCCACACACTGATTGACAGTTCCTGCTGCAAAAGTTATATGGCTTATGAAAAGTGTCTACACCTACAAATATCTCCTAAAACATACCTTCAAATCTCTCCAGCATATTCTGTAACTCATTCCTGTGAAGAAATTACATTCACTTTTACATTGTTGGTCAGTGAAATGCCATGTGTGCATTAGAAGAAATGTCTTCTGCCAAGTGCTTTACATACAACATGTGCCACATGAGTGGAAGCTGATTTTCCTTAGTTACTTTACTACCAGACAAAAATGACTCTAAACACGTTACCGCACATCTTGCTGAGGTGTGCCTGAAAAGGGGCTGTTTTCTCCACCGTCACCAATTCCTGGATTGTTTGCTGCATTGAAAGCAAGAAAGACAAAGATGTTTAAAGGAAGGACGCAGGAGGCATGTGGTATTGGTGGAATTCCTGGGCTCTTGGCCACCAAAGAGATGCAAAGCAGACCTACAGGTGGAACCATTTAGGTGCAGGTCGCGTCAAGTGAGGCCAGGGTCCCAGACCATTTCACCGAGGCGAGGCCCTTCTGCAAGCCTTTGGGGGTTACAGGCACAGCAAACCGTGTACTGCCTATCAGACACGTTGGAGGCAAGGGCTGCACCAGTCCACAAGAGCTGGGCTAAGAGCTTCTGTAACTCTGTTATGGGGTGGGAGCATGAACCTGCTTTAGAAAAAACCTAGGGCTCTGGGGCATTTGCATCGCGGAATCCAAAGCAACGACCGGGCCCCGGGCCACCCACGTGCTCAGCCTGCCAAGAGATGAGACAGACCATGCCCTCGCCCCTCGCCCCTTGCCCCTCACCTCTTGGTGCGCTTTTACCTCCATACTGAACGTCATAGGCTGCCATAACCTGAGCCTCCAGCAGGTCCTTGGCAGCCCTCCCGATGTGCTTCCTTCCCGGGAGTGCCATGGCTGGCTGTCTTCGGACGCTAGAGATGACTCCTGACCCTTGTGAGCACAAAGACACACTACAGAAACGGGGACTGGTTAAGTGAGAACCCGCGGGTGAGGGCGAGGCTCTTCGGGTTCAACAAGGGTGGGGCTGGCGGGCCCTTGTGCCTCTTGTCACAGCAGGAGGGGACGAGGAAGATGGTGCCAGCACCTGTTCCCGTCCAATCCGGGCTGTGGCCACACAGCGCGTCCCTGCTCCGCACTTCAGTCCCCTCTGCCTGCCCCTCACCGCGCCCTTGGGCCAAAGTGGGGCCCCAGGAACGCCCTGTCTGCCAGTCAGTCTGAGGGGCACTGACCATGGAGTGACTCCGTATCCTTCCAGCCCTCTGGATGGGAAATGAACCGATCTGCACCTGTTCGGGACACTCAGGTGCGGGCACTGCCCACTCGCCATCTCGGACACCAGGGCGACCCCACGGGACCCGAGTGTCGGGTCATGACCGTAGCCAGGCAGGAGGGACAGCTCCCGGCTGGGAGAGGGAGCCTCAGAGGACCTGGAGACCCTCAGGCCCTCCCCCGGCCCACCCTCAGGGGCCTCGCCCTGATCCGGGTCCCAGGCGACACTGGAGACATTTTGTCAGAAGTCAGCTCCGGCCCTGCCGGGCTCCGCACCCACGTCCCCAAGGGCCACGGGGCATACCTTCCCCGCCCCTCCACCCAGTCGCGCCTCACCTGACGGATGCCAACAGTGCCCCCTCAGAGGACGAGGGCGACCCCGGTACCGCGACGACGCTCCTCCAAGGGCCTGCGTCCACGCGATAGCAGCCGGCTTCGCTGATTGGCCGGCATGCACGCCTTCGGGAGGTCGAGCCGCGAAGAGCCACGCCCCCTGCCGGGAAGCCGTCCACCTGCGGGACTGCTCAGTGTAGCTGGACCCTGAGCAAGGGCTCAGCAGGTCCTGGTCCTGGGCAGCGACGACGGACACTAGGGGCCGTGAGGCAGGCGAAAGGGCCTCTCCCCAGTGCCTTGCCTCTGGGCTCCTTCCAACCGGCCCTGGCCCTGCTCGAGGAGCATCCATCACCCTGAAGATGGTGGCTCAGTCACCCGCTCCCATGGCTGTGTGCTTTCTGCACAAGAGCCTGTACCCTTACCCGCCATGGCTTGGTGTCCCACGCGTCCGGACCTCGCTGGGATGGTCTCCTGTTCTAGGTAGGATTCCGCCACTTGCTGGCTGACTCTACAGTGTGTCCCCTACAGAGCCTGCTTTCCTTCCCCTGCCCTGGTGTGGACCACCCTGGGGCTCCTCCACCTGGCATGGGGCGGTTCCTGGCCTGTTGACCTCTGGGCAGGGCTCTTGCAGTGCCTGGGCTGCTCTCGTTGAGAGCGAATGTCCGCTCCCTGTAGACATAGGGCTTTCGCTTTCCCTACTGGATCCTGTACCGTTGTGGGGCCAGTCCACAAAATATGCATCCAATTTTTGCCCATGGACGTCTCGATTGTTTGCAGTTTAGACCCTTTCTAAGCAATGATGCTTTGAGTACTCTAATGTCTGGCATAGGTTCCCAAGGCTTTACAAAGTATGATGGAGTGCAGTTGCTCAATCATGGGCTGGGGGAACATTCCCTATTTCCCTATTGTTTCCAAGTTACAGCCCCAAGGGTAGATTGAGTTCCCGTTGTTAGGTACACTCACCACCAACACTTGCTTTAGTAGATTTCTTAAGGCTGCCATTTTAGTGAGTGTAAATTAACATTTATGTGGGGTCTTCCTTTGTGTTTCTCCAATTGAGTTCTTTCATATTGGCCATTTGCTTTTGCTTTGCATTGAAATAACTTTGTGAGTGTCTTGAGTGTTTTCAATTGCTTTGGATGACTTTCTTACAGATTTTTGAAGTGCTTTATATATGCTGAATAACAATATTTACGCTTGTGCTTTCTGGTGCTTTTTTATTGTAATAAGATATAGATAAAATACAAGTTACCATTTTTAAGGGTGTGTTTAATTAGCACTAAGTATATTCTGATTCTTGTGCCACCATCACCACCAACCTTCAGCAGAACTTTTCCACCTTGGCTAATGGAAACTCTGTACCCATGAAACACTAAGTCTCCATTCCCTCCTCCCCATCCCCTGGCAGCCACCACCTTGCTTTCTGACGTCATCAATTTGAGTATTTTAAAACAGTTTGTGCCTCAAGTGACATTATCAAGAGAAAGAAAAGATACCCTAGAGAATGGGAAGAAATGAAGGCAAGTGATATACATATCTGGTGAGCGTCTAGTATACAGAATATATAAAGAACTCTGACAATTCCAAAGCAAAGGACACTAAGAAAAACCAATGAGAGTGGGTAAAGGATCTGACTACACATTGCTCCAAAGAAGATACACAAATGGCTGACGATCACATGCTCATATGCTCACCGTCACTAGTCATTAGGGAAATGCAAATCAATATCAGGAATAGTAGTTACCCTCAATTACCATGTCTATAATTTCTAAAAGTAAAAAGAAAAATAATAATTGTTGTTGAGAATGTAGAGAAATTGGAAGCCTTGTTTGTACATTGCTGGTGGGAATTTAAAGGAGTACAGCCAGTGTGGAAAGCAGATTGGTGAGTCCTCAAAAAGTTAAGTATATAGTTAACACATGACAAAGTCATTCCACTCCTCATTATATACCTCAATAAATTACAAACAGGTACTCAAAAAATACATGTGCACGAATGTTCTTGGCATGCCTACTCACAACAGCAAAAGATGGAAACAACCCAAGTATCCAGATTGGTGGTTGCCGGGGACTGTGGGAAGGTAGGACTCAGGAGTGACTGCTGGGTGGGCACAGGGCTTCCTTTGGGATGGGTGCAAATGTTGGGTAAGTAGACAGAGGTGATGATTGCACAATATTCTGAATTTCCTTAATGCCTCTGAGTGCTATGCTTTAAATGAATGGTTCATTTCATATTATGCGAATTTCACTTCAATAAACAATGTTTAATTTAAGACACATAACAGTTGTTAGACCAATGTAATGGAATCGTCGAGTGTTTTGAAAAAAACCTAAGCAATCAATTTTTTAATTTTTTCACTTAAAAATAGTATTTAGCCCATTGATGCTTACGTATAAATATAGTATGTGAAAAATAAATCTATCTTTTGAAAACAAAGCAAATGTTGAAAAGCGTGACATTGTTTGACATTTTGGCAAGTCTCTTTAATGTGTGCCAGAAGCGGAAAGAGCTGGATTTTCCTACCTGCTTCCTCATTCAACCTCTTGCAATGTGTCTTGTGTACTGATGAAGTGTGTGAGGCCATCTGGACTCACAGATACCAAGTTGGGAAAGGAAGACCTCGCTGATCCCCCAACGGGGTTCCTGAACTGACCATTTAGGAGCTGCTCAAGATCAGTTTTCTTTGGTGATCTTTAATCAACCCTTTGAGGGTAGCTCCATTAACAGTTTATTTGACCAAAGTGGAAGCTAGGGAACAGAGTCGCTGGGGCACATTGTGAAAGTCACAAGGCTGGTGAGCGGCAGAGCTCAGAGTCAGACCAACATCTGTCTTTCAGAAAGTCTCTGATTTGAAAAGATCTCGGTGAATGCAGCCCACTGTTTGCCCTGCCTGAGGAAGTAGATAGGCCAGATGGTAGGTCTGGAGAGGTATCCGTGTTTCCTCCACACTAAGAACCTGGTGGAACCCTTCATTCAGCTGGCGCGCAGGTATAAATGGAGTCTGGCTTGGCCCTTCCTTGTGGCCCGTGGACTGGCATGGCTGTGCTTGCTCTAGACTGGAGTCTCCGGTCCCGTGCTGTGCTGGGCTGTCTCGGGCTTCATCTCATGAGAGCTGATTCTGGGTACCCCCTGCCAACTCAGCACTCAGGGACCTGACGTTGGGGACCTGAAATCGGCCGTGAGGGGAGTATTTTCACCACGGAAATGGGAAAACCCTGGAAATCAGAACCGCACCTCTCCCCACCACCCCCGAGGGCCCGTGTGGAGCGCATCACTGCCCAGGACTGACCACGGCAGGGTCGGCTCTAGCTCCTCAGCAGGAGGAAGAGCTGCGTCAGAGGGCAGCTCCGTCTCTGTGCTAGGAGTGGCTGGCTGTGAGACAGGACATGTGTGCTGTGTACCTGGTGGTAAGACACCTGCCTCTGAGCATATTGAGCATTGGCCTGTGGTTTGAGCAGTACATGCCGAGCACATGTGACAGGTCATCTCTACTCGCCTACCGTCCCAGGTCACGGGTACTTTGTGGGGTCATTTTTCTTCACAGGCACCTTTGTGTGCTGCCAACCCAAGTGTAGACCCAGGGTCCTTTGTTCCTGCCACAGCCTGAGGTTTGGCTTTGCCTTCCTCTGGCCTGCGGGTGCCTTATCCTCACAGGCTTTCTCCTCTGCAGGTCATTTTGAAGTGAGCAAGGGTCCCTAATCCCACCTGCACAAATGTCCCTGGCCCTGTGTGTTCTAGCAGCGTGGAGGGTGATCCTTCATGGGACCTGCATCCTGAGCCTGTGTGTCTCGAGGGGGAACAGATGCTGTTATCCTTTTACTTGCCTTCCCCCATAGGGAAGGGGCTCATTTTGTGACCGTCCCCCTGCCCCCAACGCCTATTCCGTGGAGGATTTTGAGCAAGGTCCCTGGCACGTCATTCATTCATTCATGCTTTGGATGGGGCGGGGTGTAACTGACTGAGATCGAGATCAACACTGTGCCTCTGAGGATACATTTGTACTTCCTGGTTTCCATAGAAAGCTAACGTCAAGGAGAACGTTTTTGATGACATTCTGGTCTCCATGACAACCGGAGTAAGCCATCCTTTCCTGGTGGCAGACACATTTCACAAGGATATTTTCAGACCGGAGGGATGGAGTAACTGTAGAAACATCAGGACTAGTAGGTGTCTGCGATCAATCCGTGTGTGTGAGTGTGTGTGTGTGTGTGTGTGTGTGTGTGTGTGTGTGTGTGTGTGTGTGTTGGGAGCGCATGGCTTTTAGTTGGCCATTCAGGGCTCTAATCCCTCATGTTTATTAGTGAGGCTGGCAGCTGCTAATGAAAGGGAGGGTGAGGAGGTTGAGTGGCACGTCATCCGCCAGCCACAGCTCATTGTCCCGAGGTGACACCTGTTTGGTGAGAGGACTGTCATCTGAGCTCTGTAAAGCACCAATACTCAAGTATTTCGGAACTGAAATGGTTGTCACACGTTCCCTTAGTAATGTAAATTTACTCATTTACCCCTCCTCCTCATAAACCGTTATTATGTGTCCATTGGGAGTGAGACACTAGCGGTCAATAGACAGAGACAAGACAGGGAGGACTGGAAGGGCCGATGTAACCTCGAGCGATGCGGGGTGGGGGGGGGGTGATGTGCTCATCTGGGCAGCTGACACGTGAGCTAAGAACCATCTTCTCTAGAAGACAAATTCCTGTTATTGAGCCACGGTAATGACCATTGGGTAAATGAAGTTTAACCCAGCAAGGGCCCCTTCTTTATTATATGAACAGAAAGTGCAAGGCCCTTCACCAAAGCTCTGAGACATGTGGCTGTGTGTTTGAAAGTGGATGCTGCTGACATGGCTCTGTCTGTGTTTCCTGTGTTTGTGAAGAGCAGCCCAGCCTCTATGGGACCTGCTGTTGCGTCTCAGAAGAAGCAGGTGCCATGTCCAGGGTATCTACGTCTCTGGACTCTAGTCCTAGGTGCTGCTCAGTGGTTGTGGGACTGGGACCTGCCCATCCCACTGTCCCTTCACCACCTGGCTCCTTGTGTGGGTCAGCCGGCTGGGGTCTTCACAGGGGGCAGGCGGTCAGGAGGGAGGAGGACTGGCTGTGCCTTCCGCTCTGCAGCTATTCCTCTCGGTGTCACCCCAACAAAGTTCCTTCACACAATAGGGCCGTGTCTTTGCTGTAGGGAGAGACAGAGTGTCCTCAAACTCCAAGCATGCCCTTGGTCTTGTCCCTGTGGAAAGACCAGCGCCGGTGGGGTCATTTCTGGTGTGCTCTCTCCGAAGAGATCGGGCCAAGGGAGGCTGCCTCTGGGACCCTGCCACTGCGGCAGGAGCTGCTCATCTCCTGGGCAGGCGCCTTCGCCAAGGGTCTCAGGTTCCACGGGTCCCTTCCCTGACCTTCTCTAGAAACGTCTTTCTAGAGAGGAGAGGGCAGCCCCCTCTCCACCGAAGTCCAGGCCCAGGCTCTGAGGGCCTGCTCCCGGTGTGAGAGTTCGCAGGATCCATGTGGTCCCTTGCTTTCTCCGCACCTGGGAGGGCCTGCGGCTTCACACCGTTGCACTTTCTTCGGTAGCACGTCATTCCCTTTTACCATTTTTTGGTCTCCACATCATTTTACCAACTTCTCCTTTATTTAAAAAAAAAAAACAACAACAGAGGACCCTGCTTAATAATGGCGTTTGTTTTTCTCTTTCCCTTGAAGGTGCTCTTTTCACTTTGGTTTCTGGTAGTTTTACATGATTAACCTAGGCCGGTGTGTGTGTGTGTGTGTGTGTGTGTGTGTGTGTGTGGTGAGAGAAAGAGAGAGAGAGAGAGGGCGCATTACACTTGGGGGTCGGCACGTGTGCATATGCCACTCAATACTTTCCCTTATTGTGCAAACTTCCCCACTGTGGCTTCCTCTCTCTCTTTTCAGACTGCCAGTGACTAAATGTCTTATGTGCCTGGGTGTACAAACTTTAACAATGAATATAGCCTTTGCTCAATTAAAAATATCCCTCGAAGAACATTTCAAATCTATTCTCACTCAATTCTATTTCGGATGGCACGGTTCCACTAAACTCGCTTCCTTTGCTTTCCTTCTGTCCGATATTTCATTCCATATCTCCTTAGCGTCTTTGCCGTAATACGTTGGGGCACGTGAACATATAAATACAGGTGTCCTCCGTGTAGCATTTTAAACATGACTTGAAAAATACCATCTATCCTGACAAACCTCCTGCCTCTTCTTTTTGCAGTGTACCCAGGGCATGAGATTTCTATTTATCTTTCCAGACTTCTCTCTTCCCTTTAAATGTCTTCCTTTACCCTATGACAAGATAGATAGCGTTGTTGTCCAGGTGAACGTGTATTTGACGTAAACTATATGATTTGTACTTAATTGGCTGCTAACCAGATTTTTCCACTGAATTTTTCCCGTCAGTACATTCAGGTCTGCATCAGCCTTGTGTTGGGTACATAACATAAGATCTTTGGCTTGGACGATAGATTTGTTAGCCTCTCCCTGCGGATATCACCCAGGTTTGTTGCTATGATGAGCTACAATGCAATGACTTACCTTGTGAACCAGGCAACTCTTTGTCCTTATGCAAAACGGAGGGCCATCCATGGGTTCTGAAAGACACATCTTGTTCGCCTCCCTAGAGGTTAGTAAGTAGAAGGAAAGGAGGTGTAGGGGCCAAGGGAAAACTTCTCCTTGGCCCTCGGGAAGGTTTGCTGAGAACTCAACTGATAAAAGGCAGATGAACAGGAGAAAACATGGAACGGTCCCCGTGTGCATTCACCAACCTGCATGCCTTTTCCCCTCTTAATCTGCCTTTTGCCGGTTGAATTTTGAGGGAACTGTAGGAAAAGAGGAAAGAGCAGGACAGAGGAGGCTACCCTTGACTTTGTGGCCCTAAACCCCATGCGTGATGTTACGGGTGTCTCTCTCCCCTGTGGCAGGCAATAGGGATTGGGGAGTAATGCAGCGCCTTTGAGGGAAACTTGGCCTTCTGGGCGGGAGGAGCCCCCTGACTTTGCAGTAGGAGCGGGCTTTCCACGGGAGAGTGTATCCTCTAGTCTTTTTAAAACAAGGCTCTGACAGGAAACCATGATCGTTCTATAGTTCCGTGTCCGAATGTCCAGAGTCTCCTGCTCTGAGTAGCAGGTGGCTTTGAAGGCATGTGCCTGCAAGCACAGGGGCTGTGACTGCTGATTCCTTTCAGGGAACTTGGGAGGCACAGCTTCAGTCATTCACATGTGTGTGCTTGTATTTGGTGCTTGTGTTTGCTCATCATATGGAAGTTGACAAACAAGTCTCATTCTTTGTTTCTATGAGCAAATGGAGGGCAATTCATGACTCTGTAGTTTGTAATAGTTACCTTTCACACGCTGTGCACACAGCAGCCCCACTCCCCAAGTAGACGTGACCTCTATTAATTCATAGAATTAATGAACAAAATAAGGAGAGAATTTTAAACATACGAATTCTCACCCAGTGCGTCTACCAGTGCACTGCAAACCTGATGAAACCGTAAACCTTCTTTTGTTTTTTTTTTCCCAAAAAGTATGTGTGAGAGTTTATGATGAATTCCTCTGGCAAAAGAAAGGTGCAAGAATAGGCAAGACCGCATTTTCTTTATGTGAACTAAAATAAAATTTTAAGGCTCACCACCCCCCCACCCCACCCCCCACCCCCTGGCTGACTGAATGGACCCCCTCCTGGCCAAAGGAATATCCTAAAACTAAACTGCCTGCCAGGAGGAAGGAGGTCAGACAGGTCTTATTATGTCCCCCTCCCTTCTTGGGGACATCCTTTGTAACCCATTAACAGGCCTAAGGGTATGCAAGACAATCCTACAGGTCCTCAATTTACACAACAAATATCTATGTCCCAGTGACACATCTCTGAAAACAGCTCCTTAAGTTAAAACATTCCAAACCTTTAAACAAAGCTTCATGTCTTTAACCAATTACAAGCCAAAGAATCTTTAAACCCACCTATAACCTGGAAGCACCCCCCTGCCCCCCGCTTCGAGATGGCCCACCTCTTTGGGCCAAACCAATGTATGCCTCTCACGTATTGATTTGTGACTTTACCTGTAACCCCTGTCTCCCTAAAATGTATAAAACCAAACTGCAACCTAACCACAGCAAGTCCACTTGCTCAAGGCTTCTTGGGAGTGGCTCCGGGTCATGGTCCTCAAATTTGGCTCAGAATAAACTTCTTTCAAATATTTCAGAGTTTGGATTTTTTTCTGTCCGCAATTTTGGCGTAGTCGGCAGGATCTCAGAGAAGACTCAGGACCCCCGAAGGAGTCGCCCGAACTCGGAGCTAAGGTACCATCAAGGGCCCATTGATGCCCCCAGGCTTCGAGCTGCTCCTCCGGTGGGAACTGGTAAGTCCTCCTGAGCTCCGGACCTCCCTCCCGTTTTCGGTTGATGGTCTTGGTTTACTCTGAGCTGGTTCTTTTCCTAGGCATTGTTGTTTGGGATGCTAACTTAGGTTTGGAGGTGCATTCTAAAGGGTCTTCTCTATTGTCTTTTTATCCTAAAATTAATCTCATTTGGCTTTTCTGTAAGAAAAATGGGAAATCCTTTTAAAAATGAGAAAGACAAGGAGAATGACCCCCATTGGGCACCCCAGTTGGTTTGTGGGGCCTCTACTTGCAGGTATTTTTTGTAAATGAAAAAATTACACGCATGCCAGGTTTTCTAGGGCTCCAGCTGGTTATAGCTAATTCTTGTGCACAAGTTTTTACAAAAGGGCAAATCACATCAAGAAAAATTCAGAGCTGAAATGGTCGACCTACCACTATAGAGTTAAAATGTTTCAAGCTATTTCCCTCTCTTCTTTTCTGGCTACTCTAAAACCTGCTAACTTTTTCTATTGATGTTAAGATAACTCATTGTTTACGGTATTTACAATTGAAAGGCTACCTGGAGACCCTGCAGCCAGTTCTAGCTAAAATGCAAACATTGAAAACTCATTTTGAACTGAAGAAAAAAAGAGGGGCGGAAAGTTTTTTAAAAATCAAACTGTCATGGAAACTGCTTTACCCCAAAACTTTGATCCACAGGCCTAATTAGGTTACCTATCAGGGCAACTGAAGTTTGCCATGTGAACAAGTTCCAGTCTCATCAGAAGAAATTTGAATGCAGCTGTCTTTTACAGACTGGTGAGTTTGTGTTACCATCTCATAGCTAGAGTTCTAGGGTAAAATCTATTAGAACTGTGTGTGTATGTGTGTGAGTGTATATGTTTAGATATGTTTTGTGTATGTCCATGTATTACGTGTTTGTGCTTATATGGTTCCGGACTGGCTAAAAAATAAGGGAGCGCTCATAAATTAAACCCAAATGCTTCACGTGAATTTAGTAATCTTTGGTAAATAAGCTGTGTTATTATTAAAAAATAAAAAGGTGTTATTAGTAAAGTAATAGTAAAAATGCTTTTAAGTTGTCAGCATACATTTGTTTTTGCCTGGGTTTTACTGGACATTTTTAAGTTCTCGAGGTGTCAAGATTTGATATAAAGGTTATAAAAATATAAACTCAGCCAATGACAAAATAATGTGTGATTTTTGATAAGTAAAGTAAATTTAATATTTGGTCTAATGATAATCACTAAATCTGAGTTACCAACAAAAATACCTGTGTGTTTAACTTTAAGGTAAAAATGCAAATGTGCCTAAGTGTCAGCAAATTAGAATAAATAAAACACTAAGTAGAGCAAAAAAACAAACTTAATGGCCAAAGGTTTATGAAAACATTTTGGTTTTGATCTTTTAATCCTACCTATAGATATAGTTTACTTCCACCAATTTAATGCCTGTAGACAGGTACACAAAAGGCGTTTCTAACTCACTATCATCTAATATTAACAGTACTGTTAAGGATTCAAAGTTGTCCTAGAAGTTATAGTTGGAAGAACTTAAATTAGAAGCTTTAGTTTTCCCTTGGTCTTGTCCATTTTTGTCCTACTCTTTACAAGCTAGCCGGTTATATGTACATTATGTTACTGTAACAAAGTTTTTGCCTAGAAAAAATTTCTAAATTATTAATTTTTATATAGTAATTTATTTTAAGATAAAAAGTGAATGATGGTTAAAATCCACAAGACTCTCAAAGCAGTCTTACTCTTTATAAATATTGCATGTACTCAAGTTTACACCCCCCAAAATTGTTTTGAGACTATTTAGATTGTTTTTTTTTTAAAAAAAAACAGCTGAATCTTGATCCTCATGTAAAAAGCATGTTACCACTTTGTATCATTGTTTGAGGTGCTAAGGATTTTTTTTTCCTCAGTCTACAGTCAGGTGATCTTATGTTGATGAGATTCAGAAAACTAACTTAAAATGAAGGCTTCAAAAGCAAAATTTTCTGACCTTGCCTACCTCTTGTACCAATTCTTCCCTGAAACTAGCCATAAAACCTAAAATTATTCTATGTAAAATGGCCATAAAGTAATTATCTGACCTACTTTGTTTTTACTTTGTTTTACTATAAAACCCCATACCAGAAAGGGCCTTGCCCTATACCCAGAAAAGAAGAATACACACTCAGAGACCAAAAAAAAAAAAAAAAAAAAATCTAAATATAAAAGCCATGTTGGATTCTGCCACTCAGCCTGTTAGTTACAATTAGCTTACACACTTTTTGTCCAATCATATTTCTACACGGCTGTCCACACTTTAAACATTGAAAAAATGGACAATTTCCCCTGCATCTTTGAGTGTTATATTTCTAAAGGTGTCCATGTATAAGTTTTAATCCTTGCTCCTATCAATCCTACTAATATTCATGTCAGTAAATTTTCAGCAAGCCTTTATGGAAACAGTGGCCTTTGTTCCCAAGCTTTTGGGGCCAGAGACACTTTGAGCCTTACAATGTCAATAGATTTTGTTTGGGATGTAATGTTTTGGAAGGATCTAATTAACTAATACCTTTAAACGGGATGTTCTAAAATGTCTACTATGTTTATAAAACTTAAAAGTGATGTTATATTTGTTTAAAATAACAAGTCTTATTGAAATAAAAGATAAATTAGGTAAATATAAACAAAATAAATACAAATAAAATTTTCATGTAATTTAAAATCTTAAAGTCATTAAGTTAAAAAAAGGTAATCATAAAATGTCTGGATCATTTATAAGGTAAAATACTAAAACATTAGTTCTTTTTTTTTTTTTGAGACAGAGTCTCACTTTGTTGTCCAGGCTAGAGTGAGCGCCATGGCGTCAGCCTAGCTCACAGCAACCTCAAACTCCTGGGCTCGAGCGATCCTTCTGCCTCAGCCTCCCGAGTAGCTGGGACTACAGGCATGCGAATTTTTTTTTTTTTTATATATATATCAGTTGGCCAATTAATTTCTTTCGATTTATAGTAGAGACGGGGTCTTGCTCTTGCTCAGGCTGGTTTTGAACTCCTGACCTTGAGCAATCCGCCCGCCTCGGCCTCCCAGAGAGCTAGGATTACAGGCGTGAGCCACCACGCCCGGCCAAAACATTAGTTCTTAAACATAAGTTTAAGCTTATACCTTATCTTTATATTTAAAAATGCTAATAAAGTTGGTGACTAACAGATCAAAGTTACTTTAACTTCCTAGGTATTTCTAAGAGTTGAGATTACAAAACTTCTAGATAAAAGAAATTCTATATAAAAATTTTTAATAAAAATGTTATAAGACGTAAGTATTAGTTTTGTTAAAAGATAATTTTGTTTAATTTATTGGTTTTTGAAACTACTTATTCGATATGTAAATGATCATTAAAAATTAAGTGGATGTAAAAGTTAAAGGTTATAGGTTTATAAAAGTCAAATTGGTTAAAATTAGATGGCTTTGTTTATAAGATTTTTTTTAAATTAACTTTATCATTAATACACTAATACGATGAAATTTGGTTTTCTCTTTTAAACTAGATTGTCATATGATATTAATAGGAATAACAAAAGATTTTTATTCACCTTTTTAATAAACTGCAAAAAGGAAGGGAAGAAAAGGAAGACAGATTCAGCCTCCTTTTATTAACTTGTACTTCAGTCTGTCTATTAGGTCTTATACTTGTTTGAGAAACTGAGTCTCCTCTCAAAGAATAGGATCTTTGCATTTAAAATACATACATACATACGTACATACACACACACACACACACACACACACATATATATATATATATATATATTTTTTTTTTTTAAATATCAGTTTGGCTACAATTTTACAGTAACCTGCAATCTTGCTTCATGACGACAAGTGTCTTATGATGAACAATTCATGACTTCCTACTTTTCAAGCTTTCACTAAAATTTAAAATTACTAAAAATAAGAATTCTAGTCAATGCATGTAATTCTATATGTAAGGTGTACCAAAGAATGAGATTTTTTTAATAAAAAATTATAAAGCAGAATGTGTTCTTATTAAAATATATAACTTTTTCTAATCGAGAGGTTATTTAAAAGTTAAGTCAAAATAAATTTAGAAAGAAAATAAAACAAAATTCCACTTGTGAGTAAGAAAAAGATGTAAAAAGGCAATGAATATAGAAATATACTTTTGGTAAAAAAGGTTAAACAGAAAAAGTAATGTAAAGAAAGGATCTTGCATGGAATTTTTTGTCCTAAAATGACTGGTTATTCAGAAAAAGGGAATGTTAGGACAAAATCGAAAGTTTTAAGGCATGTTTTGTAGATAGTGTGTGGTACATGCAGGTTGGGGTAAAATTTATTAAAGCATTTTGGCTAAAACAAAGATTTCTGTCAATATTAATTTACTCTTAATGAAATGACATGATGTACTCATTTTGATTCTATAACATGTTTGTTTCCTTTTTAATATAAAAATAACATACTACAAAAGGTTTTTGTTTAATTTTGATAATTGACCTAAAAGAAACAAAGATTTTATGCTTTATCAAATAATCCCTGTGCTCTCTTTATTAGGTTTTGACTAACTAGAAAAACTAAACTTTAAAAGGGTTAAGATTTATACCCATATAACTTTATATCACCTTTAGAATCTTTTGATGGCTATCTCTCTTGGTTAAATAAATTATTTTATAGTGGTTTGTGATTATATATGAACAAATGTTTTAAGCCTTTGATATTTGACAACCTTTCCAAAACTTAAATTCTAAATCCAGCCTTTTGACCTTAAACTAGCTTTTTATACATTAGGATCACTAAAAGTCTAAGACAGACATTAGATTTATTTGGTGTGTCAAAACCATCCAGGGAACATTGTCAAATATGAAATGGCGTTTAACTTTCTTTGGGCTGTACTTGGATAAGTATGTTATTAATAGATATTCTAGTATTGTAAAATATTGACATGTCTTGGTGTGTGTTATCAGTAATAATTATGTTATTATGTAAATTGCTGTATGTCACGAAATAACCAATTTGGTTTTTCAACTGTCTCTAACCATGGCTGGTCCAAGTTCTACCATCTTGTCAAAATTATTATTTTACTTTGATTCATCTCAGAAAGTGATTCTTTCTGGCTAAGTCCAAAGTTGGCTTCTTCAAGTAACGGTCATGGAAAGGACTGACAGATCCACTTGAATACTGGTTTCTGATAACTTTGGAGATTATATACCATTAGACAAAACCAAAAAAAACTTCCAGGACTTTAACTTTAATTAAAAGACTGATATGACCATGAGTATAGGTAACTCAACCTCATAAGACCAAACTAAATTTTCACAAAATGACTCTTAATTTAAAGCATTACTAATTCTTTTGTTTTGTTTTCCAGAGTCCTGACAAATTTTAAGTATATAACAAGTTTACCTGATGTCTGGGACCTTAGAACCATGGAATCTGCCAAAGCCTTGTTCAAATATCCTCCCTCTAGGCCCAGGTTATATCGCGGAAGAGGGGGCGTGTCAGATTGTAAGGGCCAATTCCGAGGGATGGAATTAGTTTAGGCCCTCCAGATCAACGAGGGGCACACAGAAGCCTAAAGGAATACTGACTGAAATACTTTGTCTTTGCAGGCCACATACTGCATCATAAAAGTTTTCTTTCCTGCTTCCTATAGACTTAGAACTTACTGAGTATAATTTTTATCAGTTGTGGATTTATACAAAAGAAAATCAGCCACCTTAATATAAATTACTAAAGAGACTGAAATGTTGTGCCACAATAAAAGTCTCTAAAATTCCCTTAGCTTAAGTGTTAATGATGCTTATATTTGGTACAAGTCTACCACTAAACCCAAGAATATTGTACCCAATACTGTAGGTAAATTAGTTTTGTAGCTTTTCCTTTGACATTTGCTTTTACTCTTATTCATCTAGAAGGTTTTAGAGTATTAATGAGTGCCGTCTACCTCCGGTCCTGTTTGGCTTATTTAATTGGCTGTAAGCCCCATTTTGGCTCTTCAGTCCTTGGCCACAAGGGTCTCACCCAGGACTAGTGGCCAGGCAGGTAGCCCACCACCCTGGCAACGGATGGGACAAAATGAAAGTTTGGCCATAGATGCTGCCTCTGACAGATCTTGGCCAAAAGGGGGGAATTGTGAACTAAAATAAAATTTTAAAGGCTCACCCCTCCACCGGCTGACTAAATGGACCCCCTTCTGGCCAAAGGAATAACCTAACTAAACTGCCTGCCAGGAGGAAGGAGGTCAGACAGGCCTTATCATGCTCCCCTCCCTTCTTGGGGACATCCTTTGTAACCCATTAACAGGTCTAAGGGTATGCAAGACAATCCTGCAGGTCCTCAATTTACACAACAAATCTATGTCCAGGTGGCTTATCTCTGATAACAGCTCCTTATGTTAAAACGTCCCAAACCTTTAAACAAAGCTTCATGTCTTTAACCAATTATAAGCCAAAGAATCTTCAAACCCACCTATAACCTGTAAGCCCCCTCCCCTTCAAGATGGCCCACCTTTTTGGGCCAAACCAAATGTATGCCTCCCACGTATTGATTTATGACTTTAACTGTAACCCCTGTCTTCCTAAAATGTATAAAACCAAACTGTAACCTAACCACATCGAGTCCACTTGCTCAAGGCTTCTTGGGAGTGACTCCGGGTCATGGTCCTCAAATTTGGCTCAGAATAAACTTCTTTCAAATATTTCAGAGTTTGGATTTTTTTCCATCCACATTTATAAAAACAATTTTATAAACTCTGACTTTATTATAATAAAGGGAGCTGCCAACTCATCCTTTTAAGGAAATACATGTTGTAAGGACGGTTTAAAATTCACAAACCCAACAGCTGAACAGAAGCTCCAAAGAACAGCTAGTCATGGCTAAAATATGTCGATGAGCTATAATACATATTGTACAAGATATAGAGAAAACTATATCTTATAGTTTCTCTATCTCATATAGAGAAAACTATATATAAGAGACAGATTGAGAGAACGGTAGCACCTTCTGCGGAAATATTTCTATAATGCTGGACATCTCATTAAATAAAGTTTGGAAATATCAGGGCAGCCTTGTTGTAAAGAGAGTCACAAGAAACAATGTAGGAAAATGGGCATTCATGAGACATTGTGTCCAAATGTGCTCTTATGGTAGGAACTCTAGTTGAACATACCCTGTGCGTGTATGTGCGCACGCATGCGTAGGTAGCGTGTTGGAAGGACACACGTCATCCATGTGAGGATTGAGCATCTGAAACATGCTGTCCCTTTTATATATCTTTCTATGCATTTCATATTCCCTGCCAGCCCATTTAATGTTATTTCAGAATTGGAAAAACACAGTAACATTAAAAACTTCATTCTTCTTTCACACACACCTTTGCGTGCGCACACACACAAAGACTGCCGCCAATATTGAACTCCTACGTCCGAGGCTGATGCCATCACGAAAGCGAATAGTTCCCACTGTTCTGAAATAGGAAGAGACTAGCATCCAGGAAGTAGCATACATGGAAGTATTTTGAAATGCAAAAGAAGGAAGAAAATATATACGTCAATGTACTTTACAGATGAGATTGAGATCTCAGTTCTGTTTCCAAAAGGCATGCACCAGGGAGTCGGCACAGGGAACTTAATAAATCAATCCCCACTGAATTGGTTTAATTTCTTATCCATTTTGGATTTTCCAGAATGACATTAATGGTGCCCAGGCCCTGGGTATCTACGTTTGGTGCCATTTGGTCCCCGGAAGAACAGTGCACTTGAGGGTGTGCACACGAGCAGCTGGGATGTGAGAATCAAGCGACCCGCCTGACGTTGGGTAAGACTTTCCCATTTACTAAACGTTCGTTTGCAGCCATTTCATGGTGACATTTTGGGGTGCAATGTTCTTTGTACCTTGCTCTACGGACACTTGTTTTCAAGATAAGAATCACAGATTTGGTGTTGGGAGACAAATATTTTAAACCACAGTAGAGAGGTGCAGTGCAGGTCGCAGTGATTGGCTGGCACTGCAGCCATACTTCTTAGCCATGATAGCCAGTCATCGTCAGCATGACCCTCGTTGACCTCTAGCTTCTAAGTTCATGTCCATGCACGTGACGCCATGCTGACAGCCAGCGTCTGTGTGTAGGAGATCGCCTCAGGCTTCCTGAGGGGCACGGAGCAACACTGGCACCCTAGAAAAGAAAAAGAGAAAGCATTTCCGTCAGCTGAAGTCCAAGGAACCCAAAAGTCACTGAGTGTCCTGTAAGAAAAACGGGGTCCCTGACAGGACACCCACGTTCCTCACGCAGATGCTCTTCGGTGTTCACTCGGTACACTCAGGACAAGATGCTGGGTTTGGAGTACTCTAAAACTCCTGGGACACCATCTGTGGTTTTCTCCCAAACACTTGCACTTATCAAGCCCTGTATGACACACTTTTCGTAGTTCCTTATTGGACCTCTTATCAATGCCATTGAGCAGGGTGCTTCTGCTTTGACCAAAGGAATTCTTTCTGACCAGTTACTTCTGTTCCTTTTCCATGTTCCAGTGCACTCTGGTGTCATCCGTCGGAAGCACGAGTTGAAGCATCTCAGAGAGATTCAGGTGGAGGGAGACAGCCCCGCCAGCTGCAAAGCCCTTGCGGTGTGAAGGCAAAGGAGGTGTCGGAAAGCACTGTGCTTTGGGGAAGACCTGCAGTAGCAGTGGGTATGACGGCCACGCACCTCAACCTCTCTTAGTCGCCTCTTCACACGCCACTCAAATCATAATGGACTCTGAGTATGTCCTATGCAAGTGGAAAGGCCACTTGTGGCCAGCAAAGGTTTTGTCCAGATCTGGGCCTTCACCGAAAAATAAGAGGAAGAGGGCACTTTCTGTAGAAGTTCAAATCCTCTCGATAGATGAAAAAATTAAAGCAAAAAGCACAGACATAAAGGCCCTAACTAAGTCTGCGATTGAAGCCATCACCTCCTCGGCAGCGCCGCGGTCGAGGATCAGAGCCCCGCCAGGACAGGCAGTGGGCTATAGAAGAGCCCTTAAAGTGGCCCTGGAGATTCTGAATGAGAGAACAAATTCGGGTCAAGGAAGAAAACCAGACAAGGAGGAGACCACTACGCCGTCATCCCACAAGGTGCCAGAAAAGCAAGCCAGGCCACCGCCTCGTAAAAGGTATCGGAAATGCAAGGGGGACTTACGGAGTGGTCTTGGCAAGAGTAAAGACCCAGGATCACTGCTGGTGCGTTCAGAGGGCAAGGATGCCCCGTGTGGGGGTAAGTCACAGGGGCACACAGCCACTGCCCCTATCCCAGGTGAAGTGCACACGAAGGCATCGTCAAGCTCCAGTGTGTGCCAACATTCCCTGACGCTTTCAGAGGATGGCAGTGAGAAAGAGGACGAGGAAAAGGCAGACAGCTCCACGGTCACGTCCTCAGGTCCCGCTGTCACGGAGGAGGCTGCATGTGCTAAGGACCAACAGGCGGCTCCATCTCGGCCACTGGGGCTCATGCCCACTGTGCCCACAGCTCTGAACAAAGAGGCACAGGACACCTGCCCGAAGACCTCGGCTGCTGCCTCGGAATGCTCCACCTTGGCAGGGAACGTTGAGCGCCCTGCAGAGGGTGCCTGGAAGCCAGGCTTGGAAGGCTCGGCAGCGGCCTGCAGGTCCCCTCTCCCAAGGCAGCAGTCCTCACTCCGTCTTGCAGGTAGAAAGAGGAAGCTTCCAGTCCCACCCTTTGAGAGGGGACAGCAAGAACCTCAGCCTCTCGCTGAGGCCAAGAATCCCATCCGCAGCCTGAAAGCAGCTGGCGGTAAACAAGCGAGGCAACGCGCCGGCTCCACTTTTCCGAAGGAGCTGTGCCCCATTGAAAGGGGGATGATGGTGTGGTTTAAATTTCAGGATCATCCATTCTGGCCAGCCGTGGTAAAGAGTGTCAGCAAGGCAGAGAAGACGGCCAGGGTGCTCTTGATTGAGGCCAACCTGCGCTGCGAGAGGAGAGGCATCTGTGTGCCCCTTCGGAGACTGAAACCCCTGGAGTGCAAAGAGAAAGACAAGCTGCTGCAGAGAGCCAGGAAGGTGTACAAGCACAGCGTCAACTGGTGCTTCTCCCTCATCGCCCACTACCGGGAAGGCCTCGGCCGAGGCTCTTTCTCGGGCTCCTTCCTTGACTACTACGCCGCTGACGTCAGTTACCCGATGAGGAAAGCCGTCCAAGAGGGCGACCTGGACATTGACTTTCCCAAGGTGAACTACACCGACCTGGAAGACTGGGAGGAGGAGGCCTCCCTGTGGGGGAAGCGGCCCTACAAGAAAATCCTCCCCGACCGGATGAAGGCCGCCCGGGACCGAGCCAACCAGAAGCTGGTGGACTTCATCGTGAAGAGAAAGGGGGCCGACCATCACCTTCTGGACATCTTGAAAGGCAGAAAACAGTCCAGCTGGCTGACGTCATTTCTGAACTCAAATAAGCGCCTGTTCTGCATTGAAACTTACCTGGAGGATGAGGACCAGCTGGACCTGGTGGTAAAGCACCTACAAGACGTCTACAAACACATAGATGACACCATGCTGGCTCCGGTAAGACGTGACAAAATCGACCTTGTTCTGGAAGTTCTTCTGCCAGAAGCCATCATCTGTTCCATTGCCACACTTGAGGGGCTGGACTACAAGGGAGCGGAAGAGAAGTACCTGCAAGGACCACCCGTGCACTACCGAGAGAAAGAGCTGTTTGACAAAAATATCCTAAAGAAAGCGAGAAGGAGACCAGCAGTCGCCAGGGAAGCTCTCAGGTGTCCTCCCGTGCGCAGACGTTAGCGGGGAGCCACCTCCTTCCTAGAATTCATTCAAAAACCTGTCTGTATGAAATGTGTGACCCCTTCTCTGTGCCGTGTAAGTATGTTCTGGAAATTCGAGACTTTGGGAACATGCCTAACTTGTTTTGAATCCATCGCTAGCATTTGTGGGTGGCACGCTCATCGTCATTCCTTCTTCCCAAACCCTCCACAAGCTTTTTCATACAAAGATTGCAAACAATTGTATTTCCCTCGACCTTTTTGCATGCGTGATTGCCCAGATAGTTCCACAGGAAAATACTGTTGATTTCCATACCATTTCTTGTGACCCTATTTGACATTCTTGCACGAGACACATAACTCTTTTTCTTTTTTTACATGAAAAGTCACTGATGTTGGCTATGAAGTTAACAATAGTTTTCAAAACGTCATGCATATTTTTACAGAAACATCAATTGGAGTTTCCATTATTTTGGAGACACATGAATATCAACTATGGGATTCCGTTTTAAGATGATGCCTGAATTTTCCCTGCAATGCCTATTTATATCTTTTGAAAACTAGCTCTGAGAGTTACATCTGATGACAGACATGTTTCCTTATATATTATCACGACCTTCCAATACCCCTTCAAAAAGCAAGCTGAAAGTCAAATGCAAAGTTTCCGGATCACCTACCTACGTGTGGCCTACATGTCAGTGGATTAAATCTGAGCTTGCAGTAAGCATTTTGTCAGCCTCGTGCAACATTGTTGACAGTGTGTTTCCCTGAAATTCCGTTTATGTCAGTAGTTCTTCTCCAACGGCTAGACGATTTCCTAAAACGGGCTTCAGGCTGTCTTCACAACTGACAGTTCTTCTTGTTGCTGTCTGTCCCCAAGCGGAGGGCAGCTAGAGTCATCGTACTGGCAGGCTGACTGCTCTTACTCCTGAGAGCCCGGGCCCACTGCCCAGGAGCCCGTCTACTCTGGTCTAAAGTGTAGGAAAGCAAGCGCCTTGTCCTCAATCCCCTGGCCCCTAAAATATACTCATTTGCCTCAAACCAACAGAGCTTTATCTTCCGACTTATTCATTGGCCAGCTCCAACAGCTTCCAGCGGTATAAATGCAGACTTATCCAGTCATCCCAGGCTGCTAGAGCAGTCGGTGCCCCCAGGCTGCTGATTGGAAAGTGGATTGTAGAAGCAGCCCCCGTTTGGCTGAAGGTGGCCCTCGTCAGAACAGAATTAAACCGACGTCATGAAGAGATAAGTTGTAAAGCCCGTGAATTACTAGACTGCCTTGCAACGAGAGGGTTTCTGAGAATAAATGTTAGAAAACGTAGTTCATTTTTCCAACTCGCTGTGAAAATAAACACGAACCCAAGTGCATTTTTCCTTCTGAGAGGCAGTGAACTGTCCTCCTACGTTACAGTGTTCATGTGGCCATGTGTTTGAGTAAAATTTGCAAAGTAGCTGTTTGGATTCACAATAAAACCATCACATCCTTCACCTTGAACTTCTGCTCCATCACACTTGAGATTGTACAACTACATAGGTGGCGTGGCTAAGAAAATATATGAACACACTTCCAAAGAAATAATAGTTTGGGGAAATTATGATGTGGCGGTTGTTAATTTTCTTCTCATTCTAAATAAATATTCACTTTCATGCTTGACTTTGTGGGGAAACCCGGGGCTCTGGCTTTAGGAGAGGGCCTTCCCAGCTGTGTCCACATCCGGCCTGACGGAACCCTCCCTGGACTCTGTCTGAGCGAGAGCGCAACTCCCGGGCACGCCACCTCAGCCTTCCCCGTGACATCTCAGGGTGCTGGGAATTGTCTGGGAACAGACCACCACCATGCTCCGCGTGGGCCTCACACTGTAGCCATTCTGTCTCCCTGTGTCTCTCTGAGTCCAGTGCATCACCCAACTCCAGCTTTCTCGTGGGGCCGTGCTTATCTCTCGGTTCTAATATTTTTTTACTATCTCATTCATTCATTCGTTCATTCGTTCATAGCATTATAGGTCAGGAGAGCAAGTGAGGTATGGTTTAAGGCTCTGCTCAGAAGATAAACCTCAGGTGCCATAGAAACACATGGAAACCTTGTGACCCATGTGACAAATCTGATTTCTAACATGACAAAGATGTACTGTTTCATCCTGTTGGTGAGAAATACTCACCAGCCTCATGGGCTGACTGCTTGTATTTGAAACCAGATCCCCAGGTCTTCCTATATGTATGACATCACACGTGTCTGTTGCTTTGGGGTGAAGGAAGGGGACCTGTCCTCTCTCGGATGTCATTTACTGAAGAGAGGCAGACATGTCTTGCACAATCTATTCACCTTTTGGAATCAGGGTCATTGAAAGGCATTTGGGGTGTGGGGGTGGATTTATTGCTGTGTGGACCCTGAGTTCCCTTGCAGCAGAAGCAGTTGCTAGGGCCCCTCTATGAGTGCCCTAGCCCAGATCTGTATCACAGGGCGCTGTGTGTGTGTGTGTGTGTGTGTGTGTGTGTGTGTGTGTGGTCTGTCTGTCTGATGGGAAAGCCCAGCTCGCCACCTACCCTGACCCACTAAATTAAGGTGCTCTCCTCTTCTCCAGTCCTAAGGCAGACTGCTGGACATCAGGCCCTGGTCCCAATTTTGGGTTGGCAGAACTACACAGAGATGGCACACACAGCACTCGCAGGCCTCTGCATCCACGTGAGGTGCTGACGAGGAAAGAGCAGAGCCTTGAGACCTGCAAAGGTGATGAGCAGGACGAGTGTGTGTACCTGGAATTCCCTGGACCTTCTTCTTGGCATTAGCCACCTACAACCCTTGCTAATTGGGAAGCAATCTCCTTGTTCCTGGAGACCCCACAAAAACCTCATCTAAGGATACTCCCTCAAAAGACGTTGCTTGTCTTAGTCAACATCCGTCCTGCTAATTGCTATTGGACTAATGACAAGGGTAAAGTATGAATAGGTGAGATGACAGCACAGGAGACATGTACAGTTTCTGTTTGCGTGGGAAATACTTATATTCAGATGAACTGCAGGACCTGGCTAATATGCACCTGCATGAACTGGGATAACAGGTGGGAATGATTGTCGAGCCACCATGACAGGGTACAGAACATAATTCAATATAAGAACTTATTGACATGGGAGCACAGAAGACTTGGGGTTTCATGTCCTGCGGCTGGCCTAATATCCTGCTAGAGTGGCACCTTTATGTTTGGACAACAGCAGCCTACAGTAAATGACATGGAAATATGGGAACTGCCCTGGCTGAGTGTTGATGAATTGGTGAGAAAATTTAGGGGAAGGAGGTATGACATATAGTTTTTATGTGAGATCAAAGTCCTGCCTCTGAACTCTGTTCCCTTGGAAGACAGAGAAGACACTACTCAAATAAGAAATGTGCTGCTGAGGTGGCACTGGCATCTTTGAGGAGCTCTGTGTTGATTCATTTATGATTAGAAAAAAATTACAATAAGTAGTTGAATCGCAGAAGAATAAAGGCATTCTTAAGAACTCTAAAGTCTGAATTCATAATTTAGCAATGAGTTACTACTCAACATATCTTGTAGGACCAGCAACTATTTAAATAGATACAACTATACACAATTTGAATTAATAAGTGAAGTAAGAATGCTGGCCAGTTATGTGCTTCCCAGGCATAATTCTTATTTCTTAATGCATTAATACTATAGATAATTAGTGGTGCTTAGGTAACTAGTTTACTAGAGACAACTGCTGATATTTAGGAAATTATGTTAAATCCAGGAAGTTGAAAAACAATTTTCTCAACTCCAAATTATTACCACTTGTTGGAATAATGGGGAAAACAATCTCTCTTTCTATGTGTGTGTGTGTGTGTGTGTGTGTGTGTGTGTGTATTGTAACTTCTTATATCTCATTTATATAAGGAGTTATATAAGGATGTATAAAGTCTATACATAGGTAACTAGTTAACTAGGGGAAACTAGAGATAACTAGAAATAAATATGAAACATATACTTCTGAAATCTAACATTATTTCTTGTCAAGGTAAGGAGATAGTTCTATAGATAACTGGCAGTTCCTCGGTAACTAGTAACCTAGAGTAAACTAGAGATAACCAGAATATGTTTTTTAGGCAGGAAGCTAAAGTGTACACTCTTTTCAAATCTAACTTATTTCAATAAAAAATAAAACTTAAATACTCGGGATACCTAGTGCTACCTAGGTAAATAATTCTAGAAAGATCTGGGAAAACATATTGAAATCCAAGAGGTTGAACATTGAACTCTCAACTCTAAATTCTTACCTCTTATTGCAATAATGTATGAGCATTAGAGATAAACACTGGTACCCAGGTAACTATTTGATAGTTAGCTAGAAGTTACTAAAGATAACTGGATATAGCCAATGGAAAATTCATACTTGTAAAATCTTGTTGCTTATTTGTTTGAAATAATTCATTAATACTATTTCTAATACTGGTTCCTATGTGACTAGACAGAATTCAAAAAACTGGTTGAATACAGGCATTGAAAAAACATTATTTTCAATTCTAAGTTCCTATATAATTTTGGAATGCTGTCTTAGTACAACAAGTACCTAGAGTTCCCTAGTTACAATTTAAATAGAAATAAATTGATATAACCACAATACTCAATAAAAGGCGGGAGGCTGAAAATCACATTCTTCTTAACTCTAAATCTATTTCTTGTTGGATTATTTCATTAATACTATAGAAAAGTATTTGCATCTAGGATATCAGTTAACCAGAAAAGACTAGAAATAACTAGAATAAGTAGGTGAAGACACTAAGTGGAAAACACAGTCTCCCAAAATCAAAATTCTTATTTTTTCACTGATATAGAATTGTTGTACATATTTATGGGGAGGCATATGATGTTTTGATACCTACATAAGTATGTGATGATCAAATCAGGGTAATTGGGATATCCATCACCTCAATCATTTATCATTTCTTTGTGAAAAATTCTTATCTTTGTTGGAATAAAGAATTGACATTATACATATCTTATGGAACCTAGGTAAGCTGATGACTAAACATAACTAGAGATAATTAGAATAAATAAGTGAAGTCTGAATGATGAAATATTTGATTCCTCTCAACATAAAGTCTTACTTCTTGTTGGATAGTGGGCCAGTACTATATATGCCTGGGGTTACTTAGAAAATTAGTTGAGAAGAGATAAAATAATGACTAAAATAACTAGAATCAAAGCCAGGAATCTAAAAATCACTTTTTTAGACCAACATTTAACTGTCATTTATTGATGCAATAATGAATTATTTCTGTATGTAAGTAGAGATACTAGAATAACTAGTATCTAGAGAGAACTAGAATAACAATGGGAAAACAAGTAGTTGAAAACATTTTTCACAAATATAAGTTCTTTTTTTCTTATTGAATTAATGAGTTAGTTCTGTATAATAAGATATTCCAAGAAGACTAGTTAAGGAGCAATGATAAAAGACATCTCGAACTACTGGTTGAAGCCTAGAGGCTGAAGATCACATTCTTCTCAACTCAAAATGATCATCTCTTGTTGGAATGAGAATTTAATGCTATTGATGGTTAGCGTTACCTAGGTAAATAGTTAACAAGAGATAATTACAGATATCTAGAATAATAATCTGATGCCAAAAGTAGAAAAAATATCCTTCTCACTCAAAGTTCTTTCTGCTTGTTTGAATAATGCACAATTATCACAAATACCTGTTGGTAATTAATAATTAGCAACTTAGAAATAACTGGAAGTATCCAGAGTGACTACTTGAAAACTATACACTGATGAAAACTGGTCGAACCCAAGGATTTTGAATAATCATCCTTTGAATTAAAAATTCTTATTGCTGATTAGAAATATTCGTTCAGGGGATATCTATTGTTATCTAAGACACTAGTTAACTAGAGATAACTAGAAGTAACAAAAAGACTCCATGAACTACAAAACCTATCCTCCTCAACACCAACTTCTTCTTCATTACCCAACACGCCTATTTGGTCCTGAGGCTCCTTTGCCAGGTTAGAGCATAAAGTGGATTTGGAGGCTGGTGATGCATGTTTCCGGGGTGGTCACAGCAAGTCCAGGAGAAAAGTGTTTCCTTCCTTATCTGACCCCAGAATCCTATCTATCCCGGATAGACAGCTCCTCCTACAGGAACTTGAAACAAAGCTTTGGTTGATGGGGCACTGCCATAAACTCCCTCAGTCTGAGCATATAATCTCAGGCTGAACTGCAAAAGCTGTAGTGCCAGCTGAAGATTAGATGGGAAGGGGGGTTGGAAAAGAGATTGAGGCGCTTTCGCTTTCAGCTGCAAGTAACAGAAAGCCCACTTCTCAGTGATGCCGGCAATGTGGATGGTCTGCTCTCTCACATCACCAGCAGTCCTGAGGCAGAAGCTCTGAGATTGTTAATGCAGCAGCCCCTCGAAGCCATTAGTGGCTCTCTCTGTTCTGCAACCCTCAATGAGCCACTTTTGTCCTTGACTAGCTTCCTTCATGGTGACAGATGACTGTTGTAGTCCTTTGTAAGACAATGTCCAGCCAATGAAGGAGGAACAAGAGTGCTGCCCCTAACAACTGCTCCCATGTCTCATGTCCCCAGGCCTAAGCCAATCCTCGGTAAGAAGAGTGGGGACCTTCCTTCTGGGGCTGGAAATAACCTCAGATCCCCCCTGAAACCCCCCGGCCCTATGGAAACGGGTGGATATTTGGGCCAAATTGGGGTTCTCTGAGGAAGGGAAGAGAACAGATCTTTGGGGAAGTTTACCATGTCTACTGCGCATAGAGAAAAATGGGAAATGCAGACAGTATTTTCCTCTAAACAACAGGAGAGAATACGCAGCACTTGTGTAAGAGGTGTAGAGACGCTCCTCCATGTTTCTCCCTTTCTCGTGTTTCTTCATGGAAACGGGGTAAGAGCTGAACAAAGCAAAACAGAGGGAAATTTACTGGGGAAATTCCCTCAGAAGCAGAAGAAAGAACATTGTACACATTAGAACATTCTGATTCTCTAACTCCCTCTCAGCATTCGCTATGGTCCTTTTTCACATTGCACAACTCTGCTCGCCGTCAGCATCACTCCAACTGTCCCAACCATCAAGTGGCAGTTACTGTGGGTCTTTTCTAAGGGTCAGAAGTACAAACACACAATAACATGTAAGGCCATGATGCCCTGAACATTCCCAACTATGGTTTCTGTTTCTTTCTTTCTTTCTTGAGATAGAGTCTCACTTTGTTGCCCAGGCTGGAGTGCAGCAGCTATTCACAGGCACCACCATAGCTCGCTACAGCCTCGAACTCCTGCTCTCAAGGGATCCTCCTGCCTCAGCCTCCTGAGTAGCTGGGACTAGAGGTGCACCACCGTGCCTATCTTCAATTGTGTTTTATGTAAAAGTTCAAACAATATTTTGAATACTCAACATTTACATTTAAATTCATCATTGATTTCAAAGCCCCAACAAAAGTTAACCCTCGATTTCCTCTCATATGCAGGCGAGAGACATACGTTTGCAAGGCTGTCTTACCACATAGTACCCACCACAATCATAGGCAAAGAGGAGAACCCCAACATTTCCTACAACCGTATCTCATCAGCCACAACCCCACAACCAGCAGCTCTGTTGGCACTTCCATTCCCTCATAGGCTCTCTTCAGTGCCAACACTCTGATGTGGAACTAAGGCTAAGGAGTCAGCGAAGGAATCATAACATTCCTAGGACTTTTCTCTCATGTGAGTTTTCTGATGGTGCATAAAGGGTTTCTCTCTAGTGTGTGTTCTTAGATGTTCAGTAAGGTGTGAGCTCTGGCTGATGGTTTTCCCACGTCCTTTACATTTGCGGAGTTTCTTTCCAGTGTGAATTCCCTCATGTTCAATAAGGGATGCACTTGTGCTAAAGGCTTTTCCACATTCTGTGCATTCACAGGGCTTTTCCCCTGTATGTGTTCTTTGGTGCTGAGTAAGCCCTGGGGGCCACTAAAGGCTTTTCCACACTCATCACAGACATAGGGTTTCTCTCCAGTGTGAACAGAGATGTCTAGAAAGGGAGGCGGTGTCAGCAAAGGCCTTCTCCCACTCATCACATTCATAGGGTGTCTCTGCATTGTGGATCTGGCGGTGCTGGGTCAGATGAGTGCTTGGTGAAGGCCTTGCCACATTCGGCACGCATGTAGGGCTTCTCGCCCCCCGTGTGGATTCTCTGGTGACCCAAGAGTGGCGAGCTCTGGCCGAAGGCCTTCTCACACTCGCTATACTTAAAGGGCTTCTCTCCCGCATGAGACCTCTGATGCTTTGTAAGTGATGAGCTCTGGCTAAAGGCTTTCCCACATGCCTTACATATAAAGGGTTCTTCTCCAGGGTGAATTCTCTGATGCTCAGTGAAGGATTTCCCACGTTCCCTACACTGCCAAGGTTTCTTTTCTGCATAGAAGCCCTACTGATTAATCAGGTCTGAATTCAGTGTCAGGCTGCCTACATGTGTCACACATAAGGAGGGTCTCTCCTGTAGAAATTCCCCACTGTGACACCAGGACTGACTACAGACTGAAGCTTCCCTCAAAAGCATTCACAGGGTGCACCTTCCCCGGAGTTCCTTGTGTGGCATATCTCTCCGAGTGGCCCTCACATCCCCAAGTCTCTGGAAACACAGAGTCCCAGGACTGTTCCCTGTCATTCTTTCTATTATTGCTCCCTGGTACGAGTCTTCTTCAGAAATGTCCTGCCAAGAAGTTGATCTCTTAGTTTCAGGGCTGGTTCCCCACTCTGAAAGAAAGTACAAAAGTGGGAGTTAGGCCAGGGCCATGGGATGAAAAACAGGGCCTCTAAGGCATCCCCGGTGTCAGCACTTCTCAGTGCTGGCTTAACACTTTCAAGAGAGGGTTCGGAAAGGGAAATGTGGACAGGTAAACAGGTGAACAGGTGACACAAGTGGTGCCAAGAGAGCCTGGCTAGGCCAGAGCACAGCGGGAAAGAAAGCCACAGGAGAGGCCACAGAGAAGGGCTGAAGGTACTGCGGAACAAGAGGGGGTGATCCCAGTACTCAGTCTGGGACCGGGACACAGGACTGGGCAGGGCAGAGCCCCTTCTGCATCGCAGTCTCTGTTTGCTTGGCCAGATCCCTTCCCTCCAGGATCCTCTATCCTAATCAATCCTGCGTATTGTCAGGGCAGAAAACTAAAAACTTTGGGGTAGAGGTAGAATTTTCATCTCTTAGCATAGCTGATAGTTAGCTTCGCCTGAAAAAGGAGTATACAGAAAGTAGAGAGCTGCTGTGCCTGTGCTGATAAAGATTTGGGAACCTGTATACTGCCCTGGCAAAGACAAAGAACCTATCTCAGAATTACTTTGAATGTGTGTTTACAGGAGATTCACCAAGCTGATAATGAATGAATTAAATTTTGAAGGTACTCAAGAGGGGTATGCCCTACAAAATGAACACAAGGAGCTATCCCCACCCTGATTCCCCAACTGAGATGGCGAGGGAAGAGCAGATGCCACTGGCCATGCACAGAAGTAGACAGGCTAAGAGCACAGAACTCATGTGTGGACCACCTGTGTGAATTGGCAGGGGAAAGCCCACGGGCTGAGCCGCAGCTGCGAACCTCTGCAGCCGGTCTAACGTCTGGCTCAGTCGCTTATTTGCTGTGTGAACTTGGACAAACCACTTACTCTCTCAGGGCCTTAGTTTCTTCATCTACAAAGTGAAGATAATGGGATCTGCTACCTAAGGCTTTTTAGAGGAATAAGTGAGTTGTATTTGCAAAGCGCATGTAAGTGTGCATGCCCGGCACCCTGTAAATGCTATGCAAGTGCTTGTTGTGGTGGTTATTTGTTCCCATTACCCGACAGACTGATGAGGGACCACCTGAGATACAAAGAATGCATGCTAAAGGGGCTCAGTACTGAAATGGAAGAAACCTTCAATCTGTCAGGGAGGCCCGAAAAAGTAGGAACAACAAATGAGAGACTCAGGTGCCAATGTGGAGGTTAAAGGGAACCCCCCTGACCCCACCATTACCCATCTTCCTCACAGGCCTGGGGAATTTATAAGAAAATGTTGCAACTTTTAAGACCAACTCAACTTTGTTTTGCATGTAGTTGAAATAACCCATGAGTGTTGTGAATGGAAAGGAAATAATGCATTTCAAATATATCATACTTTACCATTTGCCCACACCTAGGAATTTACCCACAGGACATAGACTGACAAGTTTGCAAAGACGTAGTACAAGGTTGTTCATCGGTCGTTCATATTAGTGTTGTTTAGAATAATGAAAACCTGGAAATAACCTAAAGAGCTATCAATAGTAGACTGGTTAAATAGATCACAATATGTTGATACAGTAGAATATTATAGAGCCACTAAGGAGGATGAATCATTTGTCTACACCTATATATTCACTGACATGCAAACCTGTCCACAACACATGATTGAGGGCAAAATGGCAGGTAGAGGCTATAGCACATGCATCAGAGTGTCCACATCTGCACACACAATTGAGCACAGACATGCTTGGAAGAATGCTCATACAAAGGTTGCCACTGATTGCCAGTGATTTCTTCATGTCTCTATGTTTTTTTTTAATTTCTAGAATGAACACATCCTTGTAATAAAGCAAATCTAATGGGGTAAAAAAAATTGTTAAATGAATGAATGAAATGAACGAATGTCTTAAAAAGCACAAGACACAATAAATAGTTTCCTTTGTCACCCTCCTTTCACTCCTTTCTTTGGAGTTAAGCTGCCATCATTAACGTGCTATATTTTGAATCGGAATGGAAATGTCCTGTGAAGGAGAATGCAATTGGGAACATCTCATGTATAACGATGAATTCTGAATGTGGGTAGGTAACAGAGACCAACAAAAAGCCCACACAATATTTGGAATCCTTTAAATGTTCATTTTCCTTCTCAGAACTGGAATTGCAAACCCCAGATCAATTCATGGCTTCCAAATAATCATTTTCCACTCTATGAATGGATCAGGTGTGAGTGTCTCCCGTGAGTGACACGAAATAAATAGCAAACCACGCTCACTAGCAGAGCTTGAAAGAGACTGTGCATGCCTTCACTGAGCAGCGGGTACTGATTTACCGGGCGTTCACTCACTCACCTGCATGGGAGCCCCACCGCACTTCTGTTTGCAACATCCACAGTTCCTCTGCTGGCTCTAACTGGGACATCATGGCTGCTTTGGAAATTGGAATCCCTGGCTTTGGGGAAAGAAAGGAGACTTAGTTATTTGTGCTGAGACACTACGGTGTGCCAGAGTTGCATTCCAATCATTTAGTATTCAAGGGGAAAGGGCACTCTAGCAGTTCCCAGAATGTTCCAAGACTATCTCCACAGGGATCAATGCAATTTCCAAGAAGGGCTGGGAGATGGGCGTGGCAGTAGGGGTGGGAAACTGTCAGTTGCAAGAAACAACTGACTTTGCTCTCTTGGATCAAAAGGGAACCTGAGGTCATCTCAGGCATTACAGAAGCACTCCCAGCCTAGAATAGCAGAGGACAGAGAGACCAATGCCTCTGAGGCAGCTTAAGTAAGTTTATCAACAACTTCATTTGATACTAACTAGGCTTTCAGCTAGAAAGAGAAACAGAAACGATCTGGTTTTGTCTGCCAAGGAAACAGAAATCTGACCCCTGACTCTCCAGCCCCAGCTCAGACGGTCCATGAGAGGTCAGGGACCTGCACCTCACTAGCATCCCATCCTGACCTATGTCCCTCTGTGCAAAGTCCAGGTACAACCCCCTCCTCCTGGCAGAAGTCTAAGAGCACAGCTGTGAATATCAGAGACTCCTAAAAGACCCAAACCATTCCCACTTACCCTGAGCCTCCTTGGGGAGGGCTGGAGTTAGCATCAATGTAGGAAGAGGTGAAGATGGGCAGAAAATGGTCCAAAAGCATTCAGGAGCTCCTCTGCACCAAGTCCAATGCCTACTGAGCGCCTCATGTGTGCCTAACTGAGTGCTTTCCTCTGTGCAAGCTATGAAAAGGAGTAAACACATCTCTGTTCCTGAGAAGAAAGTCATTTTAGTAGGAAGAAAAGAGTTAAAGCAGATTCCAATGAGCCTCTGTGTGCAGGCATGTGGCGTGGGAAATTCTCTCAGTGGCAAGGAGCTGGCTGGATTTGCCCCTAGGACTACACTGACAACTCCCAACTCCTGTCTCCGCCAGCCCAGCTCTTTGCCTGCTCCATAAATGTTTGTCAGGCGAATTAAAACAATTTGAGAATGAAAGCCCTGAGTACAAAGTCAAGTGGTTAATTCTATGGCAGAAGTCTATGAAGGGGGAGAGGTGGTGGTGCTGGACAAGGGACAGTGGCTTGATAGAGGAGGGTGAGACATGAAGAGAACACGTCACACCTCTGGCCCATGGCACCAGAAGTGTAAGATACTGGGCTATAAGGACAATGGACACCTTCCAGCTTCTGTTTACTGCTTGTTTGCTAACCGCAAGGCATTATGAGTACATTATGGGATGCAGAGGAAAAAGACAAAGAACGCAGAAACCCGAGTCTCTCAGCTAGGACCCGGAACAGGTTAGCTATCAGGGGCAGGATGAAGTAAGAATCACTGTGGGGGCGGATGCATGACCAGTGTGTAAACAATGAGTTATAAAAAGAGGACTAACACACAAAGGAGGGCCCTGCCGGAGAAGAGCCACTGCGCTGGCACTCTGGGGCTCGGACCCTAGCTCGAGCTAGACAATAAAACTCCTTTTGATAATTACAGCCTCGGTGACTCTGTCTCTCTGTCCTGCGGCCTTGTGAATCTCGAATATAACAGTAGTCCTTGTAGCAGGGGTCCTGGATCCTTCACTTTCACTGCTTTGTTGGGAGGAATCCCCGCTGCCCTGGGCTCCACCTGCCTTTTCGCTGGGTCATTGCTACTGCCTCATCACTGGCTTTCCTGCCACCTCCAATCTTACACACTATCGCCCCATTGTCTACATTGCCAGGCGGGTGGCCATTCTGAAATGCAAACATAGGCATTGCAGGCTTCTGCTTCAAATCCACTGCAGGCACTCCTTCTAGGATGAATCCAAATTCCTTCTAGTGGCATTCCAGACCTTTCCCATCCTGCCTATCTGGCCTCCTCACCTCCCACTCCTGCCCCCATAAGGCACCATGCTCCAGAAAAATTGCCCTTTTCACTGTTTCCTGAATACATTATGCTCTTTTATGTCTGCAATGCTTCTGCACTTGCCTTTAAATCATTCAAGTTCAAATGCAATTAGTATCTGGTCCTAAAAATGCCCTCACTATCTTTTCAGGGATTTCAAACATCTAGAACCACAAAATTACATGTATATGTGAAAAAGGAGACTATGATAACAAAAATGTATATGCAAATAGACAAAGCCTAGAAGGAAATACACAAATTTAAAATTAGCATGTTAAGTAATAGGGTTAAGAACAATTTCTTTTTCTTCCACAAGTTGTTAGTGTTGCTATAACATATATTTTAATAATTAAAAAGATAGCAAGAAATAATGGACCAAATGCTAACAAGGCTTTATTTTGGTAAAAAATCCATTTTCAGGATAAATAGTAAAGTGAAAGAAGAGAGTGGGCTAGACTGACCACAGACACCATCATGGAGAGAAAAGCCTTGAGTAACCTTGGGGGCAGGGAGAAGGGCTCCAAGCACGTGATGGCCTGAACTATGTCACAGGATGGAATGAGCAGCCGACTTGAACCAAGACTTCTGCCTATAAAAAGGATATCAAGGACCAGAACAAGTTGGCTCTAGGAGCACCGGCAAATGGATGGAAGTCAGCCAAGTCCTAGGCAAGAGACAACGTATCTGTACTTGGTCCTGGAATTGCCACCCACATGGCAGGTACCTGAGAATATGCTCAGGTGCTAGAGCCTCTGAACGTTTCCAGAGGAGCTCGCTTTGTCAGAAGCTGCACTCTTAAATCCCAGGCATTTCCATGGGGCCAGCTGGGAAGACAAGTACGCCAGAGTTCAGCAAGCCCAGTACCCCACAGGCAAACAGAGTGGCTCTCAGTCCCTGCGCACCCTAAAGCTATAAGTAAAAGTAAACAACCAGTCTCCAAGAGGAAAGACTAAGGCTAGAGCTTCGAGGTTAATACCAGCCAACATGTTTACAGCACACGGCCGAATTCTCATAGCATATGCTAAATGTGATGCAAAACACAATTTATGTAAAAGGGAAAATGAAAAACTAAGGAGGTTTTTATTATGCCAGGTATGCACTTGCTAGTTCCCAGCATGCAGCTGAACCTCACTTATTCTAGTAGCTGTAGGAGAGCTGATTCTTCAAGCTGTGTCTCTCTCCAACTGTGTCTTGGGTGTGTAAGTCATGTTTAACAAATGAGCCTAAATTCTGGAAACCAAAAGTCTTATTTAGATATCAAGGTCTCCTAAATCCTTGTGCCAATTCATTTCTCCAACACAAGCAATCAAGATAAAGGAAACCTGAAATCTACTCATTTATTTTCTGTTCTAAATCCATTTACCTGGTTTTGAAAAGAGTTCCACTGACATTATTAGATTTGTAGATCTTATATTCTATGTGAACTTTAAAAAAGTTTGCTACTTTGGACCCGGAAGTTGACCTCATGGAGGGGAGGCGATCTTATAGCCCATTCACCATATGTGAGGAGGAAGCCGAGAAGAATAGGAAGAGGAAAGCAAAGGAGTCCGGAATGGCTCTGACTCAGGAACACTTGACATTCAGGAATGTGGCCATAGAATTCACTCAGGAGGAGTGGGAATGCCTGGACCCTGCTCAAAGCGCTTTATACAGGGACGTGATGTTGGAGAACTACAGGAACCTGGCCTCTTTGGGATGCTCTCTACAAGGCTGGAATCTTATCTCCATGTTGGAAACAGGGGAAAAGTCCTGGTCTGTGGAGAGCCAAGTGAAAAGAGCAAGGAAACAAAAACGGTGGGAATGTATGCAAGGTGTGATCACAGATATTTCTCCTAAATGTGTGATCAAGGAATTACCACCAACAGAGAAAAGTACTACAGAAGAAGTATTCCACATGCTGATGTTGGAAAGACATGAAAGCTATCCCATTGGAGAATTGTGCTTCAGGGAAACTCAGAAAAATATCCATGACTTTGAGTTTCAGTGGAGAGATGAAGAACAAAATTACAACACAGTGCCTTTGACAAAAAAAGAATTTTAGTGGTAGTAGAGACCAATGTGAGAGAAGGGATACTGGGAACAAGCCTATTAAAAATCAGCTTGGATTAAACTTTCAGGCACATCCACCTGAACCGAATGTATTTCAAGCTGAAGGGAAAATTTGTAATCAAATTGAGAAGTCTGTCAACAATGGTTCCTCAGTTTCAGCATCCCCAAGAATTTCTTGTAAGCTCAAAATCCATATTTCTAATAAATATGGGGATGATTTCAACTTTTCTTCATTACTCACACAAAAACAGAAAGCACACATTAAAGGAAAACTTTACAAATGTAATGAGTGTGGCAAACCCTTTAATTATGTTTCACATCTCAGTATACTTCAGATAATCCATTCTGGAGAGAAAACATATAAATGTGATGTATGTGGCAAGGGCTTTACTCATAAATCAAACCTTGCATGACATCGTAGAATTCATACTGGAGAGAAACCTTACAAGTGTAATGAGTTTGGCAAAGCCTTCAGTGTGCACCTACACCTCACTAGACATCAGAGAATGCATACTAGAGAGAAACCATCCCAGTGTGAGGAATGTGACAAAGTCTTCAGTCACAATTCATGCCTTGTGGTACATTGGAGAATTCACAGTGGAGAGAAACCTTACAAGTGTAGTGAGTGCAGGAAAGTTTTCAGTCAAAAGTCAAGTCTTGCAACTCATCAAAGAATTCATATTGGAGAGAAACCTTACAAGTGTAATGAATGTGGCAAGTTGTTCAATCAAACTACAGCCCTTAAAAGTCATCAGAGAATTCATACTGGGGAGGAATCTTACAAGTATAATGAATGTGGCAAAGTCTTCAGTCAAACTGCATCTCTTGCAAATCACTGGAGAATTCACACTGGAGAGAAACCTTATAAACGTCATGAATTTGGCAACACCTTTGGTAAAACTGCAACCACTGCAAATCAATGGAGAATTTATACTGGAGAAAATCCTTAAAAATGTAATAAATAAGGCAGAGTCTTCAGTCAGACTTCACACCTTGGAAAATCATCAGAAAACTCATACTGGACAGAAACCTTGCAATTGTAATGAGTGTGGCAAAGTCTTCAGTCAAAATTCACTCCTCCCACAACATCATAAAAAACCTTCATGAGTTCAAGCAGTAATTGACATTAAAGAGTTCATATTAAAGAGGAATTATATAACTAAAGGCTGTCATGAAGGAGTTTTGCTGGGTTACATACTGCAGGACAATCACAAGTTAAAATATGTTAAAACATATCGTATGATACATATCAATGATCCCAGGACTTTTGGAAATGGCCAAGTTTTTTTTTTCAGATTATATAATATTTTACTCAATTATATGAGGTTTATTGAAAAGGGTACCTTATTATTTATGACTTTTACCCTGACCTTTGATACTTATTTTTTTACTTTTTTCAGTAAATTCAGCCTGATACAAAAAAAACTTGTTGATATTATGCATCCTTACATGCCTTTAAAGGTGGTCTCTGGATAAGACCCAATAGGATGAAGGACCTATTTACTAGGTGAGAATCATTTACTTTCATGTTGCTGGTAGAAGGACTCTGCTCTTTAAATATTTTCTGAATTAGCATTTGGCAGAAGCCAAGAATAATGTTAAACTATGATGTCACTCAAAATGGTCACTGTGTTCTTGGTGCATTTCTCTGGACATTAGGGCACTGTGGGTTAAAGTAAAGAAATGCTCTACCAACTGACCCTAAAAGAGACCAGGCCAAGACCTTAGGATGTAGGGATTTGGGGGAGAAGAGAGATATAGGTTACTTGGGACTGACTATGTGGTAGAAATAATGCAGGGGAAATAGTGGTCACCTTCTCCATTGAATGTCAGCAGCTGTTGTTCAACAAAGATTGACGAAAATTAGTCCTATTTTTTGAAACTGAAGAAAACATTTGTCAGGAGAGTTTAATCGAAAGTACCAGTATAGCATATTCTTGAGTAGGATTTACTTTTAACTTTTGGCATTACATTTTGCTGTTGGTTTATTCAGAATGTATCACAGATCTCATTTTAATTAATAGAATTAATCGTATAAACTATTAGAATTATAGTTTCTTGTAAGAGC